AAAAAAAAAAAACCGCAAGAAAATCAAGGATTCTATTTGAATAATCTAAGGCAATGGTTCTCAAAGCATACCTGGCAGGACATCAGGATAAACATTACCTAGGAACTTCTTAGAAGGAAGAATTCTTAGTCATGGATGTGACTTTGTAAGATTCTACTTATGTAAAATTATGTGTGTGTGCACCTGTGTGCTGAAAGATATGCCAGAATAAATTACTTGATCTAACTATTCCACAATATGAAAAACAGTATCAACAATGGCTACATACTTTATGGACAGTCCTTGTGTTTCTGTTACACCAAAGTCTTATTAAAATTCAAGTTGCATAATGCCTAAACTGTTGCTTTTTGAAAAAATGGCTGTTTCGACTCAGTACCTAGAGCTCAGTGGTGAGGGTGGGCGCCAGCCACATACACCAGAGCCGGTGGGTTCAAACCCAGCCCAGGCCTGCCAAACTATAATGACAACTACAACCAAAAACTAGCCAGGGGTTGTGGCGGGTGCCTGTAGTCCCAACTGCTTGGGTGGCTAAGGTAAGAGAATCACTTAAGCCCAAGAGGTGGAAGTTGCTATGAGCTGTGACGTTACAGTACTCTACAGAGGGCAACATAGTGAAACTCTGTCTCAAAAAAAAGAAATAGCTGTTTCCAGATCTGGAACAGGACATGTTCAAAATGATCCTAGAATATTTTTTCATGGCAGAAAACAAGGAACCTTTCAAGGAGTGGTAATGGTCAAGTCATAAGGATGATTCAGGAAGAAGCTTTTAAAGAAGCTCCCACTAGCCCAAGTTGGGATGGTAAGAAAAATAAATGCAATGGGTTGAAACACTAGAAGTAGGATTTGCTTCAAAACCATCTAGAGCAGTGGTTCTCAGCCTGTGGGTCAAACGACCCTTTCACAGGGGTCGCCTAAATACATCCTGCATATCAGATATTTACATTACGATTCATAACAATAGCAGAATTACAGTTATGAAGTAGCATTGCAAATAATTTTACGCTTGGAGGTCAGCACAATCTGAGGAACTGTATTAAAGGGTCGCAGCATGAGGAAAGTTGAGAACCACCGATCTAGAGGATGTGGGAGAAGAGGCAGAGAGAGAAATGAAATAAGATCAGCTATAAGTTAATAATTACTGAAGCTGAATAATCAGTATAGGGTTCAAACATTTATGTATACCTGAAATTTTACTTAAGTTAAAATAATATTTAGGGTACATTTAAAAAATGGAAAATAAATGTGCTATTTACTTACACCTTTGCATATATTTGTAAACATTACAATAATCATTTTTATTTACCTTTTTACTTAGTCTTTGATTTTCTTTTTCAACTTTTAGGATTTTGGAAGTGTTGCCTTCTACAGAATCCATAGTACTCCGAAGCTCTTCTACAGTTTTTGTTAAACTCTGGTTTTCCATCTCCAACTTCAATAATCTACTTGATGTCAACTCATTCACCTCATGGCCCAAGGACTTCTGTGGTGCTATAACAAAAAATATGCCACTGGTAAAACTATGCTTATTCTTTACTATTTAAAATATTGTGTGTGAATGTGGTATGTCACCTGATGTTTAATTTTATTTTTAAAAATTAGGTTATATAAGATATGCACAATAATAGAGAGGTAAATCTTCTAACTTTTAATACATCCACAGCTTTCTATTGAAAAAAAAGCATTAGATTCAGACTGAAGAGACTCGAGTTCCACCTGTAATTCTCTAAGAAATTAACAACTTGACAATTTCTAAACTTTAAACTTAATGAATCTTAAGTTACTTTTATAAACATAGTTACTGCTCTGTGTATCTCATGGGGTCTTTATGTGACTCATGAAATACAAAGTATATGCCAAGCTTAGAATTTTAAAGTAAGGAAATTATTTTGTTGTTGTTTTATTTAGAGACAGGGGCTTGCCAGGGCTAGAGAGCAGTAACAACAGCACAGGCTCACTGCAACCTGGGCTCAAGCTATCCTGTCTCAGCCTCCCAGGTAGCCGGGACTATAGGTGTGCCCAATATGCCTGGCTAATTTAAAATTTTTTTGTAGTGATGGAGTCTTGCTATGTTGCTCGGGCTGATCTTAAAGTCCTGGCCTCAAGAGAGGCTCCCTAAATGCTAAGATTACAGATGTGAGCCAATACACCCAGCTGGGAAGGCAATTTGAGGGAAGAAATCCTAATTTGATTTGAAGGCAGTCAAGACAGTATATATATGCTGTATATCCCAGTCATGTTGGAAAAATTTTATAAATTAAGAATTCATGATAAACTTAAATGTAAACAGCAACATCTACTCCATCCTGCCAAGGGAGATCATCTTTTTAAGTAGATGTCAGCATTGCTTTTTAAAAAATAAGTGATCCTAATCAGTATGCCAAAAGAAGTTAACAACGCTACAACTACAGGCTTATTTAACCTTAATAACAGACTCATTAAATATTTCGTTGATATAAAAATATTAATATTTACAAATAAAATGAGACAAAATATTTATTTTGAAATCCTAGATCTCAAGAAGGGAAATGGATGAAGGTAGTGGAGGGCATTTCTATATCTTTTTGTATGTTTGAAATTCTTCATAAAAATCAAAGAAATAAGCACACACATAAAATATACCCCTGCATGCATATATTTTCTCCAAAATTAGATACAGTAAATGATGCTTAAGTTTTAAATAAAGAAAGCTTCAATTTTTATTTTTAGCTTTTGTTCTAATTATGTAGTTAATCTTTTATTAAAGGCTAGCATACTGGAGAGTCACTAACTTTTAAAATTTCATTAGGTACCCAAGTCTTTTCTTTCTTTTTTTTTTTTTTTTTAAGAAACAAAGACTCACTCTGTTGCCCAGCCTGGCTGACAATAAGGCAATCATAGCTCAATGCAACTGCTAGAAGCAGGCAATCCTCCCACCTCAGCCTCCCAAGTAGCTGGCACTATAGGCATGTGCCATCATGCCTGCCTAATTTTTTAATTTTTTGGTACAGCCAGTATCTCACTATATTGCCCAGGCTGATCTAGAACTCCTGGGTAAAGTGATCCTCCCAGCTTGGACAGACATGAGCCTCTGTGCTAGCCTAGATTATTTAAATTGAACTATAAACTTATAGGATACATTGTTCTAACCAGTAACTAATGAAGGGTTAAAAATGAATTATTTTTTATTTTTTATTTACTTATTTATTTATTTTTAAGACAGAGTCTCCCTATGTCTCCCTGGGTAGAGTGATGCAGTGTCACAGCTCACAGCAAGCTCAAACTCTTGGGCTTAAGTGATTCTCTTGCCTCAGCCTCCCAAGCAGCTGGGACTACAGGCACCTGCCACAATGGCTGGCTATTTTTTGGTTGTAGTCATCTTTGTTGTTTGGCAGGCCTAGGCTGGATTCAAACCCACCAGCTGTGGTGTATGTGGCTGGCACCCTAGCTGCTGACCTATAGGCACTGAGACTAAAAATGAATTTTGAAAATACAGTACTACTTGTGTCACTTTGGATAAAAGTTTGAAATGAATATTCTGAGCATGCTGAAATTATTTTAAACATTCTTTTCCCATTTCCATTATCATCCCTTTGTAAATCTGGTTCTATCTTATGAATGATATTAAAACACAGCATAGAACAAAATTTTAGGTATACATCATTCCCTGACAGTAGCATTACTGTCAATCCAACATGGATGAGACATTTTAATATATGTAGTCACCATGATATACAATAGACCTCTTGAATTTATTCCCATCTAACCAAAATTCTGCATCCTTACCCACCATTTCCCCTATCTCCTCACCCCTCAGCCACTGGTAACCAGCCACTTTATTCCTGTGAGTCTGACTTTTTTTATTCCATATATAAATGAGATCACACAGTATTTGTCTTTCTGTCCCTGGCTTATTTCACTCAACATAATGTCCCTCAGATTCACCCATCTTGTCACAAATGAAAGGATTACCTTCTTTTAAAGTAGAAAAGTGTTGTACTGTGTATATATACATTTTCTTACCCATTCATCCATTCACAGACACTTAAGTTTATTCCATATCTTGACTATTCCAAATAATGCTTCAATAACCATGGGAATCCAGGTATCTCTTTGACATGCATACTGACTTAATATCCTTTGGTTACATAACCAAGAACAGGATTGCCAAATGACATGGTAGTTCTACTTTTGATTTTTTGAGGAGTTGCCATATTGTTTTCTATAATGGCTACACTGACTTGCATTCCCACAAACTGTGTCCAAGGGTTACTTCTCTTCTCCATGTCCTAACTAATACTTGTTATCTTTTTTAAGAGATGGGATTTTGGCTGTAGCGCAGTGGTTACAGCGCCAACCACATACACTGAGGGTGGCAGGTTTGAACCCAGCCTGGGCCAGTTAAACAACTGTAACCAAAAATAGCTGGGCATTGTGGTGGGCTCCTGTAGTCCCAGCTACTTGGGAGGCTAAGGCAAGAGAATCACTTAAGCCCAAGAGTTTGAGCTTGCTGTGAGCTGTGACGCCACAGCATTTTACCGAAGGCAACATAGTAAGACTCTGTCTCAAAGTAAATAAATAAAAATAAAAAAGAGAGATGAGATTTCACTCTGTTGCCCAGGCTGCCATGCAGTGGCACAATCAGATCAGGATTTCTTGAGCTCAGGAAATCTTCCAACTTCAGTCTCCCAAGTAACCAGCACTACCATGTACCACTACACCTGGCTAATTTTTAAATTTTTTGTAGAGATGTGGACTCACTGTGTTGCCCAGGTTGGTCTTGAACTGAGGCTCAAGAAAATATCTTAGAACAGGTGTAAGATGATACCTTTTTTTTTTGAGACAGGTTCTCACTCTATTGCCCTGGGTAGAGTACAATGATGCTACCATAGCTGCAAGCTCAAACTCCTGGGGTCAAGCAATCCTCCTTCCTCAGCCTCTCGAGTAGCTGGGAATACAGATACATGCCACTCTGCCCAGCTAACTTTTTTCTATTTTTGGTATAAAGATGGGGTCTTGTTCTTGCCCAGGCTGACTTCAAGAAATCTTCCTGGCCTCAACCTCCCAGAGTGCTAAAATTATAGGCATGAGCCACCACATCCAACCCAAATTTTAATGATATTAATTCTTCCAATCCATGAACATGGGATATCATTCTATGTATTTGTGTCTCTTCTGATTTCTTTCACCAATGTCCTATAGTTTTCAACGTAGCTACCTTTTACCTCTGTGGTTAAATTTATTCCTAAGTATTTTAAATTTTTGTGTACCTACTATGATTGGCAATGTATTCTTCGTTTCTTTTTTGAATACTTCTTGTTAGTGTATAGATATGCTACTGATTTTGCATGTTGATTTTGTATCCTACAACTTTACTGAATTTATTTATTAGTTTTAACAGATTCTTGGCAGCATCTTTAGGGTTTTCTATATATAAGATCAAGTTGTCTGGCTCGGCATCTATAGCTCAAGTGGCTAAGGCGCCAGCCACATACACCTGAGCTGGCCAGTTCAAATCCAGCCTAGGCCCACCAAACAACAATGATGGCTGCAACCAAAAAATAGCGGGGCATTGTTGTGGGCACCTGTAGTCCCAGCTACTTGGGAGGCAGAGGCAGGAGATCGCTTGAGCCCAGGAGCTGGAGGTTTCTGTGAGCTATGATGCCACAGCACTCTACTCAGGGCAACAGCTTGAGGCTCTTTCTCAAAAAAAAAAAAGATCAAGTTGTCTGGCTGGGAGTTCGAGACCAGCATGAGCAAAAGTGAGACCTTGGCGCTAATAAAAATAGGGGGAAAAAATTAGCCAGGTATTGTGACAGGTACTAGTAGTCCCAGATACTTGGGAGGCTGAGGCAAGAGGACTGTTTGAATGCCAAGAGTTTGAGTTTGCTAAGAGACATGCTAAGGCATTCTAGCCTTTGGCAATAGAATGAGACTGTCTCAAAAAAACCCACAGATCAAGTTGTTTGTAAACACAATTTAACTTATTTCCTACCAATTTCAATGCTTTTTTATTCCTTCTTTTGCCTATCACTCTGACTAGGGTTTCCAGCACTATGCTGAGTAGAAGTGACAAGAGAGGGTATCGTTGTCTTAATTTTAGAGAAAAAATTCTCAACTTTTCTCTGCTAAGCATGTGGATTTGTCAATAATGAGCTTTATTGTGTTGAGATACATTTTTTCTATACCTAATTTGTTGAGAGTTTTTATCATGAAAAGATGCAGAATTTTGTCATATGGAAATGTTTGCATATGTTGAACCATCCTTACACCCCAGGGATAAATCCCACTTGTACATGGTGAACAATCCTTTTAACATGCTATTGAACACAGTACATTGTTGAGGATTTTTGCATCTCTGTTCATCAGGTATACTGGCCTATGATTTTCTTTTCTTGTAGTGTCCTTGTCTAGATTTAAAGTATCAAGGTAATGCCATGTAAGATGAGTTTGAGGACTGGTATTAGTTCTTCTCTAAATATTTAATTCAGGCCAGGTGTGGCTCATGTGCCAGCCCCATGTACCAAGGGTGGTGGGTTCAAACCTGGCCCCAGCCAAACTGCAACAAAAAAAAAAGCCAGGCGTGTGGCGGGCACCTGTAGTCCCAGCTATTTGGAAGCCTCAGGCAAGGGAATCACTTGAGCCCAAGAGTTTGAGGTTGCTGTGAGCTGTGATGCCATGGCACTCTACTAAGCGCAACACAGTGAGACTCTGTCTCAAAAAAAAAAAAAAAAACTCTAATACTGGGCAACTGAGGAACTATATAATTTGAATAAATGTGACCTGGATATAATTTCAAAACAGGACATTAATATTAGCATACTAGAAGCTATAACCCAAACAACTGTATTGTATGTAACTATGCCCAGCTTTAAGAGGACAAATCAACATAGAGCCTCCAGAAAGAGACAAAAAGTTAAAATTTTACCCAGGGGTTTTTCATTATCTCCAGGCTATAACTGGACTAGACTATAGTTGACAGGTATAATCTTAAAATGCAGATTACATATATTATGAAAGTAGCCATGAAGATCCCTAACTTATTCTGACTACATTTAAATCTAGGAATCTTCCCATTATATTCTGACTTCCTATTTGGGTTTGACTATAGCCAAAGGACATGTTAACCAGTTAATTTGACGTTTATGTTCAATTTACTAGATGGTAATCTTTCTCACAGTAAATTAGTAAACTAGTGTGATAGCCTCTTCTGATAGTAAGATGACATAGTGTTTAACAGCCAATAAAATTTATTACAGCACTCCTAAAATTGAGTTGTAAGATATGCAAAGTTAAGGACCAGACCCAAGAAAGTGGCAACAATATATTACTGTGTGAAATCATATCTAGGGATACAGCTGGCCTCCTGAGATATCTCCTGCTGAGGAAAATAGAGAGCTACAATGAACCATCCAGAAATGTAAACATAAATACAACTTTATTTATTCATTTATCTATTTAAGTAAAACAAAATTGGGAATACCTTCAGAAAGTTCACTAGTTTTGGATATCTGCTCCAGCTCCCAGCCAAGATGTAATGATTCATCCATACTTTGTTTCTGTGCCATTTCCAAAGTCATGTTTTCTTCCATTAGTTCTTCAATCTTTTTTCTATCCATATCTCGTTCCTTTTTTATTGGTGGAGAGTAGGGAGAGAAAAGAAAGCTAAGAAACAATATGATTTCAAGATAATATTTTATTACTCATAACCTTCATTTATCAGAAAACAATATAAGAACTTTGAGTTCTAAAATTTCCACACTTTGAAAGCAATTATAATTACTGATCACTATTCACATTAGGTGTCTGACATCCTTTTAAAGTGGTCTTTGGAAACACAGTGAAAACTTCTTCATAGTCAGTATTTTGTTTTAGTGATATAGTAAAGTAATTATGAATGATTATGCTAAATTCTAGCAAATAGCTTTATTTTATTTCTGTACTTTTAAAGACTTTTTTTTTTTTTTT